GTTTGTCCTGTGGAGTGAAACATCCAGGAAACAAATAATTTCAGGGAGTGATTTAGATCAGGGAAATGGCATGGAAATTAAAAAAAAAAAGAGTCGTTCCTCCTCAGTGCAGCTTCTCTGGTCAAATTAGCAGCCCCACACAATCCTGATCACACATCTCCAACATCCCATTTAGATGAGTCTTTCAAGACACAGGGTGTTTTCTCAGTGGAAGCTAAGCACGCCTTCCAAAATCTGAAACGAATCCCTAGTGGATGTTGCTCACTGGGGATTGAACGAGGGAGAGGGGACTTTTTAAAATAAATGAGTGTATATTCTGGCTCGTACCAGCTAAGAGGAGTGCCTTAGGACAGGGTGGAAAATCTTTTGACTCCGTGGGCCGAATCCTTCTCAAGAGCACCTTGTGGGCCAAATGCGACAGGTGGGTGGAGCTGCATACCTGTCAATTGTGTGACAGCATTATGACACCAGATGACTGACAGGTGGGTAAAATCTCCCACCTGTCAAAATTCCTTCTGCAGGAACCACTCCACAAGGGACGTATGGCAGGAAGCTCTGGAAAATTGCTTGTTTCTCCCCTCCCTGCCATTGACGGGGAGAAAAGAAACAGGGCTTCTCCTGCTTTTGTTTGCAAAACGTACCTTTGTTTCTCCCATCTCTGCCACTTGGAGGCTGGGAAGTGCATCAAATGCTTTCGGCTTCACTTCTGCAAACAGGAATCGAGTGCTTTATTTTTGATCCAGAAGTGTTTACGGAGGACTGGAATCTAGGCAGTGCCGGATTTCCGTATAAGCTAAAGAAGCTATAGCTTAGGGCCCCACTCTCTTGCCCCGCCCCCAGAATAAAGGAAAATAAACCTGGATGTACATTTCCAAAATATAAGATAAAAAACAAATAAAACAAAACCTACATACAGCAACAGTGTTTTGTGTTGTGTAGGCTCCTATGATGTAAGTAATGGGCCCCGCCTGCTAGCCTGCTCCCTAAAATATCATTGGTTTGCTCATTTCTATATATAGGGTGCCTACATTCTGAATGGACTGGTAATAAATTACCATGTAACATATATTCAACACACAAACACAGTGACAATTTGTTGTTGACAAACGACAGCTGGACATATAAAGGGCCCCATTACCTTCAGTAGCTTAGGGCCTCATCAAACCTAAATCCGGTCCTGTATTTGGGGCATTAAGTCTTTTACTGATGTCACTGTACCTCTGAGTCAGCAACATACCACTGTGAACTGAGCTTTCAGTGGCACAAACCTCATATGACTCCTGGTCATGAAGTCATGAAGCTGTAGTGCAGAGAGAGGATGGATGGAGACTGACACCATCTCACTGCACTATAAGGCAAGATCCTTTGTACCCAACCAGACGGGCCAAAAGGCACAACAACACACAGCACACCAGCTGGGGAGTCTTGCTCATTTTTATTTAGAACATTTCCTAAATGCTTTAGATTCCAAAGAGTCTCAAAGCGATGCACTGAAAATTAAAATCAAATACAATATAACAGAGATTCAGAACATTGTACAAAGTAGAGGCATAGTGCAATACGAAAGAATATCAAAACCATGCTCGAAGTGGAAATAAATATCAAACGAGCAAACAAACACTCAAACCAATATACAATACAAAAATAAAACACAGTATAAAGGAATCTCAAAACAATATGCAAGTGTAGGTCAAATGCAATACAAAAGAAATCAAACAATATGCCAACAGAACTCAAAGACAACAAACAAATATATCTCAAAACAGTGTGCAAAATAAAAATAAAACACAGTATGAAATATTAATAACCAATATTAACCAGCAATAAATATTAACAATCAAATGGAAAGCTTTTAAAATAATGTCATATTATTGGATCAGTAACATTTACAAAACCCTAACCAATCACTTTGTGAAACAAAGACAGCTGACCAGATAACAAGTCATATATCCTTGGAACTGAAGAACAGATAAATCAGTATTGTTTTCATTCTTGCCGTGCCTCACACATTGCACACACACCTCGGACCAGATCGGATTCCCACTCTGACCTCTCATGTTTGTTTATTTGTCAGGTTGAAGGAAGCCCCTTTTCTCAGGGTGGCCACTTAGGCATTGCCATACAAGAGGAAATGCACCATGGCACCACTTTGCATAAAATTTGCACATGCTAATTCATATACTTAGATACAAATTTAGAAATAGTTAATATAATTTAAGTAGAATACAGTGTAGCTCAGGGGTAGCCAACCTTTTTATACATACCGCTCACTAATACATCTTTCTTGATGGGAAAATTTCCTTACCACTGTGGCGATCACACAGGGTCCCCGGATGTTTCACAGTCTATTGACCCTGTGCCACCACTGCGGTTAGCTTTCTTCACTGCCACCACCCCGCTTCTCACGGGGAGACCCGGATTCCAGACAGTTGTTAACATAAACAAATAATCAAGTTTATTTTTAAATGCAGGAACAAACATATGGTTACAGTTTATTTTTCTCTTGTCAGTTTCCTAATCTTAGTTCCTAACAACTCCATACTGATTATTCCAACTATCTATCTGACTCAACCTAACAATTCCTCTCACTCTCTCACAATACAACTCTGCCAACCCACACCTAAGCCTCCCTTCTCCAACACCCAAGCCTCAACTCCCAACTGACAAAACTCAACTGTCAACTGACAAACCTCAACTGTCTTTCAAAACCTCCCACTCTATCTTTTACTCCCCCCTCGCATTCTCACTGGCCAATCACATCACACCCATTTTAACCCTTTCCTTGACCCATCCTAGGAGGCAAACACCACAACCACCCACCAGTGCTCGATGGAAGGAGGATTCAGCTTGTGCCGTAGAACCCCCTACCGCCCACCTAGAATCCTGAAACAGCCACTAGTGGGCGGTAGGGACCAGATTGACAACCCCCGGTCTAGATCAAAATTACGAGAAAGCCGGCGTCTGCTGTCCAGGAGCTCACTGGTGATGGGCAACTTAAAGACCACCCTCCCTCGCTTTGGTTCATTCTCTTTAGACTAGAATTGGGACTGGGCAGTTCTTCAAACTGCCCTGCGTAAAGAGGGGAATATGGCGACCCTACTCCCCTTCTACAGGATGCTACTGGTAGCTTCCAATAGCAAACTCAGCTGGCTGCTGGCTAAATCTATTTATATCACATAACCCAGATGAGCCTTTAATCACCACATGGCAGGCACAGAGTGATTAAAGAGACGCTACTGGGTAGTTTCTCTCTGTGCTTTCTTGAGAAATGATTGTGAGCGAGGAACCTGGGGGTGGTAGTTATTCCAGATTAATTACAATGGATAGAAAAGTGGCAGGTGTGCACCTGCACTTTCAGCCTCTGTCCGTCCTTTCACCACTGTCTGGGTTCAGAATCCGGGGCTTTTAAAATATCTCTGTGTCCTGCTCCTCATGTATTTTAATTGGTAGAAATATCAAGTGGACAAATGCATACCCTTCAACTGTCCCAACTAAATCAGGACATACCGTTGTGGGAGGCTGTGCTCTCAAGAACACAGCACCCAAACACACACATTTTGGGGCACCATGATATCACAGCCCCCCCCTGCACATCTTTTGCAAACTTGTGTGGGTCCCGTGATTCGTGCGGAAGCGCATCCCAGAAGACACATTCCCTGGTTTTCTGCGGAGACATTTTGGAGGGTATGCAAGTGTGGCGTTAACATATGAGAGTGCTGGAGGTGAAATAGTTAAACAAGTTACCCAATCAGAACCCAGGGGGTGGAGTCAGAGGGACTATAAAACCAGCTCTGGGAGGGGCGAAGGGGGGAGTTCATTGGGAGCTGGGTGGTTGGTTGGAGTGGGAGTGAATTGGGATAGAGTCTGTGGGTAGGTTGAGTTAGTGTAGCGAAATAAGCTGAGTCAGCAACAGTTAGGGGCTAGGAAGACAAGTAAATATCTGAGAGGTGGTTTAGTGAGTGAGAGCAGGTAGCAGAAGTTATAGGTCTGGATAGGCACCCCATGATTGTAATTGACCGATACCATTTATGAAACCGCACACTTGTTAAAGTGCAATAAATAAACAGAAGTTTATGTTCTAATTTAACCTTGACTGGACTCAGTATTGTACCAGGTAGAGCCTGGGTGGTGGCAGCGAGAAATAAAATGGTGGCACAGGGATCAATAGACGGCAAAACGTCCGGGGACCCTGTGTGATCGCCACAGCAAGTACCTCAGTTTACCTGGGGGAGAATGTGTCCCATTGGTCCCCTAATAGTCTTGCCTGTTTCTGCAGTTACTCACAGTATAGCTTGACACAGCCCCCGAGCAGCAGGCAGCATTAAAAAGCACCCATTTCCCTGCGGACAAATACATTTAGCGAAACCAAAGCCACTTTACCAAGCATGCTATTCTGTATAATAAGAGGGGATAGTATCTTCCTTCGACTTCCCTGTTATAATCATATGAGGCAGTCCTGGGGAAAATCGAATGAAGCATCATGTAACCAGACAATAACAAGGGGGAAACAATTGCCAAGCATATTAATTGAAGATAGCGCAAGAAGTAATGAGCTTAAATTACAGGAAGGCAACTTCAAGGCCTGACCCCAGTCACTGCCAAGGAATTGCTGGAACTCATGTCCCTCAGGGCCACCTCCGGTACTCCAGATGCAATTGACTCCCCCCCCCCCGTTGTTGGTTTTTTTTAAGCCAGCAAAAGGTTTAAGGCCCATGTTGCTCTTTGTTCCAGGCAAATGGGTCTGTTGCCTAGAAACCACAACATGCTCTTCCCTGATGCTTTCAACTCTAAAGAAGCAGCTGGGTTGGGGTTTATTTTTTTTGGGGGGGGGAGATGTTCAGAGATGGCCCATTACATGCGCTTTGCACTGTTGCTTTAGAAGCCAGGCTATCATGAAAAGCCATTTTTTAAGTGCATGTTTCAGGAACTTTTCCTCCAGGGTCCCAAAACTAAATTGTAGCTCTCCTCTTTCCAGCAGAACCCCATGGGGAATGCCAGCAGCGTAAGACAGAGAAGGAAAGTGTAAATTGGCACAAAGGTCCAATTTACAATCAACCAGCAAGCTGCATCCCATAATTATTAGAGAGAACCTCTTTTCTCAGGTAACTAGAAAATGTGTTGGAGCCTCTAATTACTGAAGAGTGACGAACCTCCGTTGCTTGAAAAATAGGCACTAGTAGTTAAATCCTTCACTTTCAATAAATTAAACATAAGAATATGTTGACATTTTCTTTCCAAATTGAAACTAACCTCCGATTATAGCTACTTCTGTAATATATTATGATTCTCCCTGTTCGCCTGGGGATGATTACAAGGATAGTGGGGGGGAAGAGGGTTTACCCCAGTATATGCATTTTTATACACATTACTTAACTGGAAAACTGTGTTGCAAAATTCAGATATGCGCGAAAACTGAAGGATGGCGATGTTCCAGTTCGCATCTTGTCTTGGAAAGCACAGATTTGGTAGGTTCATGTTTAAATGTCAACAGAATTGAACAGGGCTCATTACAGTAGTCCAAGTGGAGAGATAACCAGAGCATGTACCACTCTGGTGATACTGAGCGCAGGCAAGTAGGGTCTCAGCCGGTGTACCAGGTGGAGCTGGTAGACAGCTGCCCTGGACAGAGAATTGACCTGTGTCTCCATGGACAGCGGTGAGTGCAAAAACCCCATTAGCCAGGCTGATAGGAGATGCAGTCCAAAGCATTTGGAGAGCACCAGGCTAGCAAGGGCTACAGGAAGGGATATATTGTCTAAAGATTGATTTTTAAAAAAAAAATAAAAGGGGTGAGGAAGAGACTATGTTGGGGTGGGGGAGTCTCATTAGAAAGGTATTTCATACCTCAGAGGCAGACTAAATGCCATGTGATGCAGCAGTTTCTATAGTGACTGTTCTCTTTCATTTGAAAGCAGAGTAAGCAGTTATAGAAAAACCCAAATAACTGTCTGGCTAGCATGCACACTCTCTCTTTCTCTCTCCCCTGATTACTTATAAGGATTTTCTGCCCTTGAATTGGATATGCTCCTCCTTCTGAAAGAGCTTTTGTTACACAGCAGAAAGAAGGAAGGCTAATACTCGGCAAGGAGGACAATGGGGAACAGAAAATTAGAATATGGGAGTGCATCTGCATTAGGGCTGGTTTGGCTGGGGGGTTTTATTGATTTCTTCTTGCATAAGTACCAAAACACATAGATAGGACCAGCCCAGAGGGCTCAAACTCAGCAGATGGGCGGTAAATTCAAGTCTGCTTCTTGCAGGGATCTGTGGCAAAACATACCGTAGTTTGCATTGTAGCCAGAGAGGGAAAGCTTCATTTTGGCAGCAGTTTCAATGCCATTTTCTTGGAGGAAGGTGCGCTCCTACTGCCCATCAGCAAAGGAATGATCAGGAGCTCACTTTACTGAGATAAGTTTTTAAAAAAATGGATTTTAATATAAAAAGGGGAAAAGAGAGGGTGGAAACAAAAAAACAATAAGGAACCAATAAAGAAGAAAGATTACGCAAATCACACATATTAAGTGGCCAAAGCAAAGTTAACTCAAGAGTTCAAGATCTCACACGAAGCTGTTGTAAATTGTGGTTCATTGTCTACAAAATAAAATCCCACCAAAAGTGTCCAGTGCAGCTGTTCATTGCAATGTCTGGAAATGGAGTGTAACTTTCTCCCAAATAGCAATATTCCAAATATTCTCATACCAGAGCAAAATATAAGCTCTTAAAGTAGAAAAATCTTTTTTGCAGAAGTCCTGTGTTCACTTACCTGAAGAGTGAGCCCAGTTCAAAGTACGGTAAACATGGATAGGATGTGACTTTAAATCTTGCTTTGCTGCAACTGATGCCAGCTGAGGGCATCCCTGCTTATTTCATGATGAAGAGAGCCAATTTTAAAAGTGTGAATGACTTGTTTGAGATGCAAAGTATTTGCTCAAATGGCTTTCTTCCTCTTTCAACCATTCTGTTATTCACCGCACCCCTATTTGCCATGACTTCCATAATAGAGTTGTAAAGCCTGTCCACAATAAAAGGCAGAGGAAATAACTAGTTTCACTAAGGCGCACACTCCAGGTGAACTGAATGGCAATCAAGTGTACATTGTGTGTGCAACATTTATATTGAGACCACATGATTCATTTGACCATTTACCACCCTTGATGAGTTTATACAAGCACAGATGTATTTATGAAATTTGCAGAGAAGCAGAAGAGGGAAAGCCTTGGAAATAATTCAAGTTCAACAGGAAGTGCATGAAGGAAGACCTTGGGTGGAAACAGTGTTCTGTTAGGGGGAATAATTTGTTGTAACTCTAGGGGGTATTACAAAAGACAAATAATCTAATAGCTTGTTAGTGCTGTCCATGTGACTGCTTTACAATGTGTTCACAGCGACTCAGGAGCAATGATGCTTCCTCAGCATTTTCTGCAGCTGTAGTGAGTTTGGTTTTCTGCCTTGTTCCCTGAATTAACTCAGCAAGTGCCCTATCCTGTAATGGACAGCATCCTAATTCAGATTTTGGAGGGACCCTGCATCCATCGTGTGTGTAAGAATGTGCTGAATAGGCAACTAAAGTCTTCCATTTAAAAGCAGTTCTCCAAAAACTAGAGCAGAAGGGAAGCAAACTGTGGTGTCACAGGGGACCCAGGAAGTCTAGTCTGGCCCCTTCCCTTGGCCAGAAAAGGAGCAGCTTCGCTACTCCCTGCCAGAAAGAATATTCAGCTCCAACTGCCAGCTGCCCTGGGCCTGCAAAACTGAAGGGAAGGGTGGTCTGATCTCATTTCTTCAATGAAAATACAGTGGTGCCTCGCAAGACGAAATTAATCCGTTCCGCGAGTCTCTTCGTCTTGCGGTTTTTTCGTCTTGTGAAGCACGGCTATTAGCGGCTTAGCCCTATTAACGGCTTAGCGGCTTAGCGGCTATTAACGGCTTAGAGGCTTTAAGAAAAAGGAAACAAACTCGCAAGCCCATAGGGAAATTCGTCTTGTGGAACGACTCAAAAAACGGAAAACCCTTTCGTCTAGCGAGTTTTTCGTCTTGCGAGGCATTCGTTTTGCGGGGCACCACTGTAGGGATGATAGCTCAGTTGGTAGAGCATGAGACTCATAACCCAGGGTAGTGGGTTCTAGCCCCATGTAGGGCAAAAGACTCCTGCATTGCAGGGGGTTGGACTAGATGACCCCTGTGGTCCCTTCCAATTCTACAGATCTGTGAATCTATCCTATTCCATAATAATAACAACAATAATAATTTTATTATTTATACCCCACCCCTCTGGCTGGGTTGCCCCAGCCACTCTGGGCAGCTTCCAACATATATAAAAACATAAGAAAACATTCAAAAATTTCCCTACACAGGGCTGCCTTCAGAAGTCTCCCAAAGGTTGTATAGTTACTTATCTCATTGGCTTGGGCATCGGATAACATACCCTCCAACATTTCTCTGATAAAAATAGCGACAGGCTGCAGAAAAGCGGGACATTCTGGGATCAAATCAGAAACTGGGACAGCTTCTGTAAATCCAGTTCTGTCCCTGGAAAACAGGGACACTTGGAGGCTCTGTGGGTTGTGTGTGTAACAACAGGCCAGCAATACTTAAATACTAACCTTGTATTACACGGGTCACTGCTGCTTACCTGTAGGGAGAGAGGAAGAGGTGAGGTGTTGAGAAGGTGCAAACTCACTGGCAGGAGACCAAATCGCCTCTGCTGGTGTGCTATGGTAACCTTCCAGTGAATCCTGGAGCCCCTGGCCAGTGCCTGCCTGACCTGACCGACCATTGGTGTCTGGCCTGGGAAGTGACCATCACTCATTGGCAGAGTGCACACTTTGCACACAGAAGGGATCTGGTAGCAAGTCTTGGCAGAACTGCTGTCAGGCAGAGTAGTCAATCCTAGATTCGATGGACAACATAGCTGCTTTGCAACAGGTCAGACTTCCTATATGCCTATGCCCAGCCACCCAGGAAGCATAACATTCCTTTCTGATATTTGCACTTGTATGTGATTCCAAGGCACTATAAAACCTTGCTGTTTGACATTTCACAGCATCAATCTGCTCCTATGATGAAGCACTGCAGAATGTTAAGTGATATAAAACACGGTCATCTGTAATGAATGGAGAGCTGCCTCTGATGAAAGGGGAGGGGGCGCTGGGGACTGGAAGCAATAAATCCTAGTGCCATTACTGGTTGTGCTGCCAGGGAGGAAATGTCTGCAGCCAGCTGCCACTGCCAGAACATCCTGCAACAAGTTTAAAGTATTAAAACGAGAACCTGCCATGGCCAGATGTCCGTGGTGGCAACTGTGAAACAGGCGAGCGCTCAGCAAGCTACGTGGACCCAAATGGATGGTGGCTGTTCTCGATGAGCTGGAAAGAGAAATCCCTTTGTTTCCAAATTAGAAAACACTGAAATGCATCATTAAATTTTAACACTGTGTTCCAATAAAAAGGAGAGAGCTAAAGGAAATTGGACAAGTGATTGATGTTGGTCTGGACCACTTCAATTCTATTAAGGCGGTGACATGGCTGCTGAGCATAATGCATTCTCAAGGCTTATGCACCCACCATGTTTTGCCATTGGGCTGCCAGATCAAGAGGTGATGCTGTATTTGTCTCTAGGTAGCTGCAAGCTAAGCTCAGAGCTGTGATTACTGTATAGTAGATTTTTCTAGATGTAAACAAGAATCTCACAGAGGTTAATTGGGGCCTGTTCTTTAGCACAACGTGGAGACTGATTGAAACTATTCTGGCTAAACGTAAATTTGTCCTGGGGATAAATGCTGCAGAAATGAAACAATGTGAATAAAAGCTGCCTCACGGCTTGGAGTCTTAATCGGCCAATATTGTCCCTGACCTAAGAACTGGGCTTTTTAAAACATGGAATCTTAACAGAATAAAATTAATGGGGGCTTTAAAATGAAACTATTTCATGTTGGATTGCATTTCCATGTAAGGAAATTCAAGAGAATTGTTATGTATTACAGTCATACCTCGGGTTGAATGCGCTTCGGGCTGAGCACGTTCGAGTTGCGCTCCGTGGCAACCCGGAAGTAACAGCGCGTTACTTCCGGGTTTTGCCACTTGCGCATGTGCAGATGCTCAAAATGACGTCACGCACATGTGCAGAAGCGGTGAAAAGCAATGCGCGCGCAGATGTGCCGTCACTAGTTATGTTTGCTTCTAGATGTGAACGGGGCTCCGGAACGAATCCCATTCGTATCTAGAGGTACCACTGTAAATGATTTACAGAGTTGGATATTACATTTAAATACCAAGAAATGTGTGGTTTGAGTTTATTAATATTATTGTTGCTGTTATTTATTTAATGATATGGGTTGTAAAAATGAAAATAGATACAAATAAAAATTTAATTTATAACAGCAGCAGCAGCAGCAACAACAACAACATTGTCCCTGTCCTTACAAGAGGACTCTTCATACAGGCACATTGCCAAGGACTGAAGCAATCTTGCTGGATGCTCTGAACATATAGTCATTTTTATTTTATGCTGTAAGAACTGTTGCCTGTTTTCTCCTCACCCCTCCATATTTCTATAGTTTGAAAAGAAAGAAGTGTGTGTGTGTGTGTGTGTGTGTGTGTGTGTGCGCGCGTGCACAGTATCATGTCATGCTGAGATGTGCCTTTTGCAGTCAATGCAGTTCTAATCCAAACCTGGAAAATTTATGGTGTCTTTTTTAGATCAATATATTCTTACCCTAGAGTTCATGGGCAATGCAGTGTCAAAAAAAGAGCAGAGAGAACAAGGTTTTTCATTAGTGGCAAGTCAAAACTCATGTGAATGAATGTTTTTTTAGCCCCAGAACTGGGCCCTTTGTGTGATACATTCAGCTAGACATTGCTCTTTAATTGTGATAATTCTTGCAGTAAGCCTTGAAAAGGAGTTACCTTTATGTAATGCTTTTTTTATTTATATAAGGTTAAATTGAGAAAGCATAAATAAAGGAGTTACCTTTATGTAATGCTTTTTTTATTTATATAAGGTTAAATTGAGAAAGCATAAATAACCTGAAGAACCATATACTGTAATAAATAACAAATGATGGGATTTTTAGTTTAGGAAAAAGGAGTGCAATATATTAGGCAGTATTCAACTAAATTTTACTCAGAGTAGACTTAGACAGATTGAGGTCAAATCCTGACAAGACAGAAGTACTGTTTTGGGGGGAAAGGAGGCGGGTAGGTGTGGAGGATTCCCTGGTCCTGAATGGGGTAACTTTGCCCCTGGAGGGCCAGGTGCGCAGCCTGGGAGTCATTTTGGACTCACAGTTGTCCATGGAGGCACAGGTCAATTCTGTGTCCAGGGCAGCTGTCTACCAGCTCCATCTGGTACGCACGCTGAGATCCTACCTGCCTGCAGAATGTCTCGCCAGAGTGGTGCATGCTCTAGTTATCTCCCACTTGGACTACTGCAATGCGCTTTACGTGGGGCTATCTTTGAAGGTGACTTGGAAACTGCAATTAATCCAGAATGTGGCAGCTAGACTGGTGAGATCCTGGTTCTGAGAGATCTGTATTAAGCTACCAGTACATTTC